ACCCTCACTGATTGACTTTGCAAACTTCATGGCTACTCAATGCTATTCAAGCTTGCTCATTGCAACATTCACCCTTGCTTCAAACCGACAAGAGTTCTTTCTCCCACCTTGGACATTATTCCACAGGTGTATTTATAGATAACAATATGTTTTTATTGTTTATATTGATTTTATATGAATTTATATTTTATATACTAATGTTTTAAGTGTTTTTATGTTGGTGAGGGCATCGAATTGTGCTGAATGTAAACCGTCCTGAGTCGCTCACGGGCTGAGAAAGGTGGTATATGAATATGGTAAATAAATACAAATAATAAATAGATCAGTGTTTCTCAACCTGGGGGTCGGGACCCCTGAGGGGGTCGCCAAAGACCATCAGGAAATACAGTATTTTCTGATGGTCATGGGGATTCCATGTGGGAAGTTTGAGCCAATTTTAGCGTTGGTGGAGTTCAGAATGTTCTTTGAGTGTAATGAACTATAAATCCCAGCAACTACAACTCCCAAAAATCAAAGTCTATTTTCCCCAGGCTCCACCAGTGTTCATTTGCACATATTGAGTATTTGTGCCAAGTTTGGTCCAGATCCACCATTGCGTGAGTCCACAGTGCTCTCTGGATACAGGTGAACTACAACTCCCAAACTCAAGGTCAATACCCACCAAACCCTTCCAGCGTTTTCCGTTGGTCATGGGAGTTCTGTGTGGCAAATTAGGTTCAAATCCATCGCTGGTGGAGTTCAGAATGCTCTTTGACTATAGGTGAACTATCCATCCCAGCAACTACAACTCCCAAATGACAAAATCAATCCTCCCCCAACCCCACTAGCGTTTACATGTAGGTGCATTGGGTATTTGTGCCCAGTTTGGTCCAGTGAATGAAAATACATCCTGCATAGCAAATATTTACATTATGATTTATAACAGTAGGAAAATGACTGTGATGAAGTAGCAACAAAAACAATGTTATGGTTGGGGGTCACCACAACATGAGGGACTGTATTCAGGGGTCACGGCATTAGGAAGGTGGAGAAACACTGAAATAGATAGATATACACTCCACTTGCCTCACTGCCAACAGGCCTCTAACCTCTGAGGATTCCTGCCACAGATGCAGGTGAAACATCAGGAGAGAATGCTACCGGAACATATCTATTTATTTATTTATTTATTTATTTATTTATATCTCGCCTTTCTCAACCCCAAAGGGGACTCAAAGCGGCTTACAGATAGGCAACAATTCAATGCCTTAAAACCAATGTACAATTAAAATAAATATTTAAGTTAGAATTAGCCCTAAACGGTTCTGGCCCAACTTATCTATCCGAACGTATCTCAGCCTATCAGCCCACCAGGACCCTAAGATCTTCTGGAGAGTCCCTGCTCTCTATCCCTCCAGCTTCAGAAGTGCGGCTGGCGGGAACGAGAGACAGGGCCTTCTCTGTGGTGGCCCCTCGGCTTTGGAACGCCCTCCCTATAGAGATACGATCAGCCTCTTCGCTGACGGTGTTTCGGAAGAGATTGAAAACATGGCTGTTTAAACAAGCATTCGGCTAATCCGTTGCAATCGAATTCTTGGTGACTAAGGACAGGTAATCATGGACAACGAATTTTGGATTGTGATTTTAGTTCGAGATGCATGGATTATTATTGGTGGCCCAATAATTTGTATTGTATGTGTGTATGTTTTAAATTGGAGATTGTTTTTTAATTGTTGTAAACCGCAATGAGTCGCCGACTTAGGCTGAGATATTAGCGGTATACAAGCTTCATTGACTATTCTAAAGCCTTTGACTGTGTGGATCATCATAAATTGTGGCAAGCTCTTAGTGGGATGGGCATCCCAAGCCCCCTTCCCTCTCTCCTGAGGAATCTGTCCAAGGACCAAGGAGCAACAGTCAGAACTGACCACGGAACAGGAGACGGGTTCAGGATTGGGAAAGCCGTCCGGCAAGGCTGCATCCTCTCACCCAACCTTTTTAACTTGTATGCAGAACACATCATGCGAGGATGTGCGGGGCTGGATGAATGCAAAGCTGGGGTTAAGATTGCTGGAAGAAACATTAACAACCTCAGATATGCAGATGACACCACTCTGATGGCCGAAAGCGAGGAGGAGCTGAGGAGCCTTCTCATCAAGGCGAAAGAAGAAAGCGCAAAAGCCGGGTTGCAGCTAAACGTCAAAAAAACCAAGATTATGGCAACAAGAATGATTGACAACTGGAAAATAGAGGGAGAAAATGTGGAGGCCGTGACAGACTTTGTATTTCTAGGTGCAAAGATTACTGCAGATGCAGACTGTGGCCAGGAAATCAGGAGATGCTTCCTTCTTGGGAGGAGAGCAAGGCCCAATCTCGATAAAATCGTAAAGAGTAGAGACATCAGACTGGCAACCAAGATCCATTGCCTAGTCCAAGCCATGGTATTCCCTGTAGTCACATCTACGGATGTGAGAGCTGGACCTTCGGGAAGGCTGAGCCAAGGAAGAGAGGCGCTTTTGAGCTGTGGTGTTGGAGGAAAGTGCTGAGAGTGCCTTGGACTGCGAGAAGATCCAACCAGTCCATCCTCCAGGAAATAAAGCCCGGCTGCTCACTGGAGGGAAGGAGACTAGAGACCAAGTGGAAGTCCTTTGAATGCCACATCATGAGGAGACAGGAAAGCCTAGAGAAGGGAATGATGCTGGGGAAAGTGGAAGGCAAAAGGAAGAGGGGCCGACCAAGGGCAAGGTGGATGGATGGCATCCTTGAAGTGACTGGACTGACCTTGAGGGAGCTGGGGGTGGTAACGGCCGACAGGGAGCTCTGGCGTGGGCTGGTCCATGAGGTCACGAAAAGTCGGAGACGACTGAACGAATGAACAACAACAACACAAGCGTATAAATAATAAATAAATAAATAAATAAATAAATTAAGATCAGAATTGAACTACATGGCCATACAGCCCGGAAAATTCACATCAACACAGTGATTCCGGCCATGAAAGCCTTCGATAACACATTGAAAGGTAGTTTGTCCAGAATTTCCTTTGGTGTGGTTGGTTTTGTGGCTGTCGTTTCCATTATTACACCAAAACCCCTCGGGTTGTAATTTGGACAAAGGGTCCAGTTTCCTTTTCTAGAACCCCTGCCGACTGTTTAAAAAGAACCTTTATCTCCTTTGTAAAACTGTCAGGGCTTCTTCTCACTTCCTCCCATGTTTCTAAATTTGGATTGGTGCTGGGCCATCTCTCCTTACTGAAAACGGTCTCTGCTTAAGCAGCTGAGGGGGTAAAGGGAAGGGCCTGAGGCTGTGAAGAAGTATGGGAGTTGGAGTCCAAAACCACCTGGAGGGAAGGCCCAAGTTTGCTCATGCCTGCCTTATCTATATAAATAAAAATGTCATGTTCGTTTGTGGGATTCACAGAACTCAAAAACCACTGG